ATATTATTATTATATTTTTATTTAAAAATATATATATATATATTTAAATTAAATATTTTTTTTTAAATATTATATTATATTATATTATATTCCATAAATTTAATATTTATTTTAATTAATTTCCTTAAATTAATATTTTTCTAAATTATCTAAATTATTCCTTTCCTTCAAATATTATTTCCCTTCGTCCATTTCCCTAGGCCACACCCCTTCCCTAAGCCACCACTTCCCTAAGTTACCACTTCCCTTAAATCACCACCTCGAAAAATCTCCATATTTCCTTCGTCAATGCTTCCCTTAATCGCTTCTTCCCTTCGTCAGCACTTCCCTAGATCAACACTTCCCTTCGTCACCACTTCCCTTCGTCACCACTTCCTTAGGTCACCAGCTCCCTAGGTCACAGTTCCCTACCGTAGATGGACGAAATATTCAAACCTTTTCTATCCGGTACAACCCCCTTGCCCCCAAAGTTCAATGTTAATGTAACCTGAGGTGCATTGGCCCCAATAAACAAAAGAAAGCAAACCCCCAACATCACAATGCACACGATATTTATATTTTGCTAGTCTCAATATCTATGATTTGAATCATTGATTCGGTGACGTAGGTGCCTGCGTGCAATAAAACATGTCGAAGCGGACACATAAAGTTGTGGGCTCTAAAGGGGTACCGCCTGGTAATGACTAACGTAGCTATTGAAAATTGCCCAGTCGAAATAGTTGCTTTTCCCATTAAAAATTGTGATTTTCCATAGCTTTTTACGTTTACCAGAGGAAAATGGTAGGAATGGTTGGGGTATGATTTCCTTGTTGGTGGCACCTCTCGGTTCGCGAAGCCATTGGGAAATGCGACAAGAACCTCACTCTGACGTTGGTGAAGGGGAATTCCTACTTCATGGATGATGATAGTGCACTACAATTACATCGATCTATGTACAGTATATTATATATATAATTATATATATATATAATTATATAATATATATATAAATACATAATATATATGGTATTATACTATTATAGTATATTATAGCGTTATCTGTGTATATATATATATAGTAAATCATACATTAACTACAGTCAAGGGTAGGATAACGGATGAGAATCAACCAACTTGTATCAACTTGTAGCCATTGAACTTAGACAATCGCTCTGTTGAACTGCGGTCCTGAAAAGGCCCAGAAACTATGCTTCTTCTGCCAAGCTGCGTTCAAAAGGGCGTCTCTGGAATTCTTTGCTATCATTTGATATCATTTGAGTATATATATATATATACATACATATATAAATATATTATATTATATTATATTATATTATACTATATTATATTATATTTTTTTATATTATATTATATTATATTATATATATATTATACTATAAAGGGTCCGGAACTTTGACAACTCGACTAATAGTAACTTGGAAACTCTCCAGGGAGCTGTCAATGACCTCCATCCATGTTCATCTCCAATGATCACCTCATATCAAAAGTATATAAAGTGTAGATTTTAGCAAGCCTCTACTCCTGTTTTATCCTGCCTGTGGCACAAAAATTCGGGATCAGCTTTTGGTTCCGCTACTGGCCCGGATCGGTCATCAAGTCAGGGCCGGACGCAGCCCGCTCCTCCTTGTCCATGGACGCCAACGGAGCTACTGGCCCTGCACAAGGCTCAAATTGGCATGGATCATCACAGACCATGATCCAAGCAGCGGAAAAAAACCCGCTGCTTAGCTAGCATGGCCGCCATGGCCCCTGGATTTTTTTATATGTTTTGGCTTCTACTTCCACCGGCCGTGAGTTGTCCAAGATCCCGATTTGGCTGTGGCTTCGAGCTGAGCTATCCAAATGCCATGTATCCAACACGGAGCATTGTCTACTCATGTCCGGTAGGAAAAAATGCTGGTAGATCTGCCAGTCCCCAAAGACTACAAGGACATCTGGGAACAACAGCACATCAGCACATCTATTTCTAGCATGATCAATCTTTGAATTGATCAGCGCAGCTTAAAAAATCACCCCAGCAACCAACAAGGACTGTTCCGACCTCAAGGCTTAGCTGTAACATTTTGCAGGGCCGATTCAAATTCCAGGACCATTAAGGACCCATGGCTGGGATACGGACGCAAGGCACGGCGACTGGATGCGGGGCTGACCTCGAGGCGGTGAAGCTTTGGGCAGAATTCTCTGTGAAAATCATCATTTTTTCATAGGTAAACCATCTGTAAATGGGCCATTTTCCATGGCTATGTTAAATAACCAGAGGGTAAACTGTTTTATTGCATCTTGATGCATATTTACAATCAGGGTTTTACCAGAGAACTTTATCGGATTGATACAATTCTCTGGTTTTTGGATTCTCTTGTGCAAATCAGTTGGTCATTTGTTGACCAGCTTCAACAGGCTCCCAGACAGCACCATGGATGCCAGCACCAGGTGTGGAAGGCACACTTGACTCGTTCCTGACTGGCCCGTTGCGTCGGCTTTCGCAATCTCTGGAAGACATGAGATCGACGCGACAACAGCATTTCCATTTGCGGTTTGTGCAGTGCAACTTTATCATATGTTGTCACTTTTTGACACTTTACCCTCCAGAAAACTACTGGTAAGGGAAACAGGGCCCATCAAGTTGGATGAAGCATCCCGATTTTGCAGATGTGATTTTCCAGTCCGCAAACTCCAAGAAATTACAGTTTGGTTACACAGTCACGGCTCATTCCAAGTCTGAAAATATGGTATCCCCGGTATTCCCAATTCCAATGGATTATTCTCACTTCCCTATGAACAAATGGCAATATCTGTGGATATCCACCATTGACAAAGCCAACCTCAGCAGCGCCCCGCTAGGAATCGGTCTGCCTTCGCTCACCGCGGGCAGAAGGTTGTGCTGAACTCAAAGAAGACCCCGGCCTTTGCACGGTGGAGCTGGACCCAGGCCTTGTGCGTCATAACTCTCCAAACCCGGATACCTCTCTCTCTCTCTATATATATATTATCGATTACACTTGCTATCCATGGATCCTAACTTCGGAGATCATGGCATTTATATATATGGTTTGCATACAAGACAAATTTCACGACCTGTGTTAGCTTGGAAAAAAGAAACATGCTGTCAGGTTGACAAGGGTCTTATTTCAACATGTTTCGATAATTTCCGCAAATAGGGAACACCAGGTTGGTATTCCTGTATATCCAATCCAATCCTATCTTGGAATAATCTACTGATTCCTACTGGACACCCAATATCAGGTTGAGAATTCTTTCTCCGAAACGCCTAAACGACGAGGGTTTTTTCTGAGCGACCCCACTCTGATCCGTCCAGGCTTCGTGCTGACCTGAGAAACTGAAGTTCTAAACCTCCATCTTGGGCTATTGTGATTTCAGACAAACCCAGGTGGCAATGAGGAAACAAGGGCCAACACGACAATCCAAAAAAACTGTAAAGAGTGCTGGCTCATCTTGGTCAAAGTGTTGAGAGGGCTTCCCGGCACTGCGATGCTCACAAAGAAATTTGGATTAAAGAAACAGATGGGGAAATCGACCAATTTCGATTGCAATCCACGAGTGAGGAACCCACCATGAAATTGAGGTCCCAAACAACTACCCCCCCCCCGGATGACCCCTGGTTCTTGCCAGAAGTGCTTTCCCTTCTTGCCACGCAGCAACAGTGGCAATGGATCAACACCCAGGTACAACACCCTGGTACCCTTCTGTTAACTCCTTATGGATGCTTGTGGATCTTTATCCCCCGTCAGCTCCCAAATATGTTACAGTAATGTATAGTATCATAGGTTTTGATCCGGTCCAACTCCATGCTCCTTCTGATTTCTGTGGGTCTGTCGGCACCAAAAGTCTTGCGGTCTGTGGCTCCCTGCGCGACGCGGCCCAAAAAAGAACTGCTGCCAGATCGATAGCCTTGGCGGCGCAGCCGCTGGATGTTCTTCGATCAAAGAACTCGCAGGAAACTGTTTACCTTTCAAATATAATATTATACATAATGTACATCCAAATATGGGGGCTTTAAGTGTAGAAATTCTCTCTTCAACAACGAATCTTGAACGGATGGGCCAAAATCATACCACATCATTTCTACTCTGGGGACTGGGGGAACAATAAATGACAATAAATGCTTCGACTTTGACAAATTGGCGATACTTTTGAACACAAGATCCACCATAGACATCCATAGACACCATTACAAAAGAAACAGAATCCGAAAAAAGAGTGTGGTAGTCAGGAATCTTTTAGGAATCTCATCAAGCAAGCATTGAATAATGTGATGTCATCTGGATATGCCAAGCTGAGACCCAGCCCCACAGAGCCATTCGCGATTTGTGCTGGTGGGTTCAGGGTCCCCGGCTGTGCTTGCGACGTTCCGCAGCCTGGACGTGGGGGGAGGCAGTCTGGGGTAATATCAACTCCGGATTAATAAACCATGGTTTATTAGGGGGGTATTCCCCCAATAGTCAAGATTTGATACTTCAATGGTACCTTCCCAATTCAACAACCTGGGGCCTAGGGGTTTATTAAATAGGGTTGACATTGTGGCTCAAAAATTGGTGGCCCTGACCAATCAGGACGAGGACCCAAGTTTTGATCTTAGCAACAAAACACGGGGACATATTATGTTGCAATATGTTGAATTGCATTTGCCTTGAGAACGTTTTTCAGAACCGAGTACAGTATCGAAGGGAACTTAACTGGTCACTTGTGTATTCATTCTCGAGGTTTCATAGTTTCATCATGATGATCATGTCATGGTAGTAGTGCCCAGCACGGTGGCAACAAGACCAAGACCCGTGGCACGGTTTCGGTAGTTTCGGTAGACGTGGCCGACGCCTCGTAGATATCCAACTGGGATCGGATTCGATCCACCTGCCGATGGATCTTTCGTCTCTGAAATGTCAGGGAACAAAAACAGAGAAAATATATGTGCTATCCATGTTGTTTCCGAGCACTGGTTTTGATTGTTCATTTTTTTGAGCCACATCCCATTGAAATCATATAACCCATCATTTCTTCCCTCCAGAACAGGTTCAAACACGTAAAAATCAGAGCTGTGGCCTCCCCTTCTCTCCAGGCAACTGCCTCACAGAGCTCCTTGGGTACATCTTTGGGGCCATCGTCTTGTCAGAAATGGCTTACCACATCTTATCACTTTGAGGAATCTAAGCGTTCTGAAACGCTTCTTAAACCATCCAACTTTAGTGGGCCTCTAGTGATTTTGACATATAATATCATATAATGATCTCTAGTGACTTTTAAGCAAGACTGAGTGGATGATATTGGGATACAGTAAGCAAAACATATAGGATTTGACCCAGCAAGGCAAGAGCTCATTTCAACAAATTCAGATTACAGATTTCACATCTCAAAATGAGGACTTATCTTACAGACGTGCTATTTTCCAATGGGGGACTTGTCCAAACTCGTCTGTGGCAAAACTTGCAGGTACTGTCCAACTCATTCGCACCGGTTCTCAGGGAGCTATGCGGGTACCATGGCTTTGATCATCATGTATAGTATAGGACCCCAAAAAAACCACGCCCAAAGGTGTTTCCAGGATGGAAGTTTGATATAGTTTGATCATGTTGCCACCATACGTTCAAGATCTTTCAAGGTTTCCAACTGTTCTACCGTTTTGGGGCTTGCTGCAACGAGTGATTAGATAATCCACATGTATTGACGACAGTCCGGACAGGAACTGCCATGAGTTGGGATAATGTTAGATACTCATTAGTGCATCCCCCTGTTCAACAATTGCTAGGGAGTCAATAATTACGAATCCAATAAAATAGTAAGGAATTGAATCCATTTGATCGAATTCCAGTCAAAATTTCTTTTGTTGAGTAGTGTACTGTATATATAAGATCCAACTTTTTTTGTTGGTTCAACCCCCATCTATTGCTGATTAGGGAAGTTCAACCATTTATTTCATGATACCACCATTTTTGCTGGTAAAAAACCCAGGAAACAAACATCTGCGCCACCGGTCCCATCCTCAATTTCCACTTGTTGCCGTTGATGATCCGCTTGCAAAGCGCAGAGCTCTTGCTCCCTGTCGGCTGGGTTTAGGTCAACAATTTCCTTCAATTCTGGGAGGGATACCCAAATGTTCATAAGACAAATGATGAGAAAGCGATCGATTTATGGTACATTTAACCTATATACTTTTGTATCTTCAGAGAGAACCCCTGACCTTTCCCAAGTGCGTAGAACAATGTAGAAAATATTTGGGGACCATTGCTGAAATTTGTTGCAGACATTGTAGACCAACCTGTTCACTTTCCAGTCGGGCTTCCTAGTATGACAACTAACACCATGTCAAAATTTTGAAGAGGCTTCCCCCCACCGTTCGAGGACAAAATAGATACGCTGAAGTAACTATAAAGATTATCCCGGCAAACGAATGATAAATCAACCAATTCATGAATAGTTTAAATAAGAACAGTACATAAATATAATAATACACTGTGATAATATATACAGTATATATATTTATATATGATATATGATAAATGATATATGATATATGATATATGATATATGTATCATTATATTATGTCATGTAAATATATTATATCATATTTATAGACATATATTAAATAATATGCAAGTTGGCATCAAACAGTCATTCCGTCCTGTGGGCGGTGCCTCTTTAGGAGAGCTTGCTGGTTTGTTGCCAAAGAAGCTTCAGCTGAGCTCAGCTGGCTCTCCTGGACGAACATGCCGACGATTCCGGTTCGAACTCCGGATGGGGATGGATGGATGGACTGGTTTTACGGTTGAAACATGTTGAAGCCATACTTTTCACCATTGAAAATGGGGTTTCTGGAAGTTTGCCAATCATCCCATTCTAGATGTTCTAGGAGCTTTGGTGTGACATATTTGGTAATAATATAATGAACTATTAATGCTATGTATATATATATATGTTGTATGTGTGTCCTAAAATGGGGCACCCCAAACCCCGAAATCGCGGAAGGTTTGTCATGACGTTTACATACACATATTTATCACTAAAATGCTCTAAAAACAACATGTTTTTGGTATCCCCTGTTTTGAGATATACCCATGGTTACTTTAGCTATGGAAAATCACCATGTTCAAAAGGTAGAACCATTATAGATCATCATTTTTAGTTTTAGTAGGTACATTTCCATAGCTATGTTAAATGACCAGAGGGTAAATCCCATTAAATTAAAATTGAAAGAGGCTTTCCATCCCATTCAATCACCATTTTGATTGTGAAAAATGACAAATCACCATTTTTCAAGATCTGAGTCCGTTGTTCGCGAAACGGTCGGCCTTCTCTTGCAACGATCGCTGCTGCACATGGTTCAACTCCCGCAGATGATTGGCCTTGGAGTGGCTGGGATCCTGTGGGAATACCTATAGAAATAGCTATGGAAATACAATAGGCTCCACAGGATATCTCTATTATTAGGTATTTCTACATATCTAGCTATTTAATGCCATTTACCTATGGACATACTCCAAATATCTCCAAATATCTCCAGATATCTGGCTGTTTGGTCGATTCGTTTCCATGAAATCTGCAGTTTCAGCACAATTCCGTAATACATGTATCTGTTCACAAGGCCAACTAAAGGAACATCTGTAATCAACGGTAGGGAGATACAGTGTTGACGTATGTCTACGCTTTCAACTCGGTCCTGGACATATAATATGTAGCAAACTACTGATAGCTGATGCAACAGCAAGTACAGCAAACATTGGAGCATCCGGGAAAGGCGCATTATGATATATTGTGCTTGTGCGAGGTTGGTAGACTACTGTACAGTGGCCTACAGAAAAGTTGCTGAATACTTTGACTACCTGTGTTTTCGCTCCGCCCCCATTTTTGTTGCTTATATCTCCCCGCTTTTCATTGGTATGTTATGCAATATTCATGCAGTGTATATCCCAATTCTTCATGGTTACACACAGAAACTTTAATTGCCATCTTGTCATTTTTCATAGGTAGATAAACCCATTCTGGTTGGTGGTTAACCTACCCCTCTGAACAATATGAGTTTGTCAGTTGGGAAGATGACATTCCCAATATATATATATATACACGTATATACATATCATATATATATATATATCTATACATGGAAAAATAATCCACATGTTCCAAACCAGGAAACCACCAACCAGCATTTTACATTCGAAGAGATTTCAGCCTACCGAATCCAACATTACTCCGAGTGGGGCTCAGGCTTCTTGCCACAGCCTGTCGCGTTCATCTCTCAGCCGATCCCGCTCCAGCGTCAGGGACATCAGCCTCGAGCAGAGTCAAAAGCTGACAAAAAAAAACGTGGTTGGTGAATGATGCTCACATAATGATGGTTAATGATGGTTAATGATGGTTATATAATTATATAATCAATATCATTTAATGATTGTTAAGGATGCTTAATGATTGATGGTTGGTTAATGTCATTCCATGATTGTTAATGATGGTTAACGCTGATCAACAAATCAAACAAAGTTTCTTCGTCTGCTTAATCGCAATCAGGTGGCATGGACTATGATCATGCTCCATAGTTGATGGTTATTACGGTTACCCTCTGGTAATTTAACATAGGTATTGAAAATGTCCATTTATACGTGAATTTTCCCTTTAAACATTGTGATTTTCCATAGCTATGTTAGTTTACCAGAGGGTATGAGTTTAATTCCCGGAACTTTCTTCACCGGGCCCGGGCTTCAGTGAAAAGCATGACCTGCCACGATGTCACCATTGGGGATTTGCCATTGCCCTGTTTGGTTACATTGCTTACATTGGTTGCCATCCCTATAACGATGCTCACATATTCACTTATAACTGGACCTGCACCCCCCAAGATCCCCCAAGTATGGCAACACTTTGACATTCCATAATCCTTGCATATGTCACAGAGCTTTTGCGTCCATGGGCCCCATTTCAATTGACACACTGATCCAGGGCTCAGAGAGGGTCTCAAACACCGCTCGATGCAGAAGTGCTGGGCCACCCTGGCTGTTCGCTTTGCTTTGCCACAAGGTCCTGGGTCTCAAATGCACGAGCGGTGGTAATCTCCTTCTGAAGGTATGCTGCAGTCAGTTTCCACACAGAGGTCACTAGCAACTTCACCCAAAGAGTTGACTTTCCAGCAAAGAAATCAAAGAATCGTGCAGATTTAAGGGCAAAATGGACGTCCACAAACACATCCCAACTTCAGCCTTCAGGTTTTTTTTTCAGCTGTTCCACCGCTGGTCCTTCTGCTCTTGCTGGTTGCTGATCTGAGCAGCAGTCCTGGCGTCAGAAATGATGGAAGCGATGAAGGGCTGTTGATTTTGTAAAGTGCTATCCAGGTGCTTGTCAAAGTCGAATGCAAAGAAGGGATAGCTAAGTGGCATCACAGCAAGGTAGATAAGTAGAAACACCTTTTCAGCATGTTGATTTCATTCTTTAGATTAGTGTCCCTCAAGGCGAGGGCTTGGGATTCATCATGGAAGAAACTTGCCGGCATTGCATATCCAAGACCTCAGAATTTCACAGAGTTTCCACACTTTGAATCAACGCTCTCACGATGCCCCGGACATCCCCGGACTGTTTCCGAATTGTTGGTTTGCTCCGCATCCATGTCTTAGAATCTGGTTGGTGGTTGACCTACCCCTCTGAAAAATATGAGTTCGTCAGTTGGGATTATTATTCCATTCCCAATAGATTCAATCGATGGAAAGTCATAAAATTCATGTTCCAAAATTCCAGTCACCAGAAAAACCCATGGCAACCAGCTAATTTGGTTGTTTGATGTTGTTTGCCATCCATGTCTTAGTTCCAAACGTTCTGTTGCTTCGCCAGAACGTTGGAAAGGCTCTGCACCCGATTCTGCTGCTCCTCAAGCTGCCTTTCTTTCTCATCCAGATCCTCGGGATCGAAAATTTGAATCTCGCAGCTACCCTCCACTGTGAACGTTTGTGGAAAACCCACCATGAATGTAGATCATTGTCCCATAGAGAAACCATGGCTTTTCATGGCTTTTCCACATTCAGAAGTTAGTTTTACCATGAGTTTTACCCTAGGGTAACTTGTCCAACTGCACAACTAAAATTTCTGGATCGGTGCGAAAGAGGCGCCATTTCGGCATTCAGCAGGAGCTGTTGGAGTTCTTCCACTTCACGCTCTTCCGCATCGCTCGGCTCCTTTCGCACGGGATGGTCTTTCAAAGTCGACATGGAGAATAGGAATGGGTCAACTGGGATATGCCAGTTTAAGATCTTCCGGATGGAAGAAACCACATGAAGACCACAAAATAACAATCATCAAATCAAAATGACGATGACATCTGGGAACCCTGTCCTTGGCCTCCTTGGTCTTGCGCCCATCTGCCAAGCGAGTAAGCAGCTCCACGTGTTCCTAGGCGCACAGCTTGGTGGTTCACGGTTCACCCCACTGCACTCAATGGATCAATGGATTTGTTTCAACGGAAATCTGTAGGAAACCAATCATTTTTCCATCACATATAGAGAGTTTTCCCGCAGATTTCCGTTAAGTTGTCCCTTTCCTTATAGGAGCTGCACCTACCAAGGCCGTGACAAAGCTTGGGCCCCTGGCAACGATGTCGGCCCATGAGCAACTCAACTGGAGACCCAGCAAGGACCGCAATGTTTGCAAGGTCAACTCCTCAGCTGCAGCAGCTGAACATGAAAAGGCTGTGGATGCTGAGATATGATGAGATATGGCTATAGCGGCTAGATCCCACATCTAAGTATGATTTCTTGACCCAAAAATACCCAAAATCAGAATATCATGAACAGCATGGCATCAATGGTCTAACATGGTCTAACTTTAACAGGGGGAGAAGCAACCGATGTTTCCAACATCTTGGAGCTCTTGGGGCGCTGGCAAACTTGGCCCGGAGCGTGCTCAATTCCCCTGAACAACAACGCGAGGCAAGGACGCAAAAACCGGTGGTTGATACAACTACAACATACCCATAGGATCCATGGTGATGGTATATTAATGCTAACATTTGGGGTATATTGATGGTAAATGTTACCATATATAGCATACATGGATCCTATGGGATAGATCAACATGGCGCAACTGATCCGCGGAGAAAACTTGCTCCATGTAGATCCATGTCTTGCACCATGCGAAGCCACTGCAGCTTGCGAATTTGGACATTCACATGCTGATATATAGTGAGTTTTTGGGAGTTTTTTCGCCCTGCACCAAGGTTGTTAACAAAGGTTGACTCCCCACAAGGGCTCACCCTCAAAAGCCAAGAAATCATCGGCTGACCGACCTGCTGCGTGCGCAACGGCTAAGTCTCATTAGGCCTCCCTGCCCAGTAGGAGTGCTCGCTCCTTCTGCAACTGAGTTCCCTCGGAAGCAAGTGGAAACTTCCGGTGAATTTGATGTGGGGATGGATCAGTGGATCAGCATGTCCTGCCAAAATTGAATGATAAGAATTGATAAGATCCGATCAAGTCATACAAGGCATGACTAAGATCAGAATGTCCTTTGATTGTTCCGAAACTTTCACCTGCAGCCTCACCCATAGGATCCATGTATGCTATATACATATGGTAACATTTACCATCAATATACCCCAAATGTTAGCATATATACCATACATGGATCCTATGGGTATGTTCATGTGTGGGGTGTCTGACATATCGAAGAAATGTCTGACACGTTTCCCAATGCCAGGCCTCTTCTACCTCCATCGAGCTACAGGTAGCTCGGCCCTTTGGCCCAGCCCTGAAGTTATAACTGATAATGATATTTATATATATAAATAACTATATATACAGATAATGTTATATGTACATGTTACATAATGTTATATGCACAGAAACATATCATATGTTGTCTCTTGTAGTACGAGTACTCTACATGTTTGTCAAGTGATAAAAACAATTCACCAATGTCCAAGCTTTTCAAAGTCGCTGGCATCAAGCTGATCCCAGAACTATGAGGCAGATTTGACATCACCAGAACTCGAGTCTTGCAGAAATGATCATCGCCTTTTGGTTTTTGTGACCCCTGTGTTTGAAAAGAAGCATCGTGGCGACTGCCCTCAAGCTAAGGTCGCTTGAGCCAAGATTTTTTGTGGTCAGTCTGGGTCATCGGCTATCCATCAATTGGATTCAATACTGGTACACCCCAAGCATCCAAGCATTGATTAGCCCTCCTCGACCACCTTTTGTGAGCAATCGAGGCTGGGAGTGACCTACAGCCCAATCAGGACATCTTCAGATAATGGTTAAGTCAAAAGCAGGGATTCCACGACTGCTATAGTATGGGTATGGGTCAATACCTATAGATACATTTTTAGTGGGATGAACATCCATTTACCAGCTATTTTGATGTTCACTAGGTACCAGGGTTTTGACCCATAGCCATATGATATATGCAATGAATTTGAATCTGTTCCACATTGTTCCACGGAAACGCACGTTAACTATGGCAAGTCTGAAAAACTCCGGCCCATTGCAGCCAGAAGTTTGCCCGCTGCTATCATCGACCACGCCCTGGTGGCAAAATATTGCAGGCTACCCTCTGGTAAACATACAAAAAACTATGGAAAATCACCATTTTTAATGGGAAAATCCACTATTTCTATGGCCATTTTCCATTGCTATGTAAACGTTCACCAGAGGGTAGTCATTTTCGAATGCACGGTGACGGGCTGAGAAAACGTAGACTGGATCGTGTGAACATTGCTCAACAGTCAAATGTTCCAGGCACGCATGTCCAAATTAAATACATGGGGACCCCAACCATCAGTTTCCCGACTGAACATGTAACTTTTGGAACGCACCTGAGTTGGCTGGTAGTCTTGCAGTTTCAACTGAAGCCATCCCAAGCCTATTTCTCAAGAAAGATTGTCATCCCATCCCAGTTCTTGTTGGTTCCAGCCTCTATCCCTGTTGTTTGCCTGGTAAAGTGCCCATCTGCATGGAGAATCGGGAGCCCTTTTCTTCTGTTGGCGCTCTGTGGTCAGTCTCCGGCGCAAACAGGCGGCCGGAGAAGCGGAGAGGCGCATCATCGTCCACGGGATTTCTTCGTCCACTCACCTGTGCCAGCAGTCACGGTCACGTTGGTTCAACATATACATAGATGATAATCATAGATACGGGTCAAAGCTTATGGAATTCCCAGGTGAACCCCCCCAAATAGCTGGGATTCATGGTTGTTCACCCCCAAATACGGAAAATTCATGAAATTGCAGATTTTAAGCCCCAAAGAAGTGATTTTAACTGGGATTGGTGGATCATCATCCCCCCAAATGTAGAAACTGATAGGTTTTGATCCATGCCCACATCATAGCGGTTCAGAATGAACGGTGCCTTTCCAGGAGCGGCTCTTGTTGTTGTCCCACTGGTCCCAAGACCAGGAATCCCAGTCCCACTTCTCCTGGCTGAGAAAACACACCGAGCTCTGTCACTTGAAATAAGGTGGGTTCCAACACGTGACCCAATCTCAGGCTTCAATTGTGCTGATTTGCTGTTTTTGCGCCTCTTTACTGTCTTTTGTGTCAATGAAGACAGTCACAGACTGTCAGTTGCGCCACAGTTGCTGCCAAGTCCAACGCACATAGCAAGGTCAGGACATGTACATTCACCACAAATGGCCAAATTTAGCATTGAAATCACCATATACTGATACTGCCTATCAAAGCCAAATTGGCCTACCACCTAGTACCCTAACCAGAAAAAACCGTTGATCTTCCAACTACCAGCGGTCTTCCAACTAACAGTGTTGTTGTCCCCTTGAATTCTCTCTGATTTGGTGTTTTATTTCATCCCTCAACAAAAAAAACATCTATTTATTTGAGTAGAATCAGTAGAATGGAATACGGAACAGGACATTTATGTAAGAGACCTGCAACTTCAAATTGGGTGAACATCAATCTACGCTAGGGCAAACTACCCTCTGGAAAACAAACATAACTATGGAACATCACCATTTTTGATGGGTAAAATCAACTATAAATTCACCATTTTCAATAGCTATGTTAGTTTACCGGAGGGTAACATAGATGTAGAAAACCAATGGGTTTTTTCGGGGAATCTGCCATCAACTTGCGAAGCTGAGCCTCTCCACCCTCCTTCTTGCCTTGGAAAAGATTGGAAACAGTTTCCATCTCGCTGGAAACATCTTAGTCATATGGGTGTGTCTGAAAATGTTGTGTACCCCTAAACCCAATGGTTTTGCTGATCATTATCCCGTTTAAATGGCTAGTTCATTGGGAATATACCCCATTTTCAGACAAACCCATATTTCGTCATCATCTTTTGTGGCTGCGGAAAAGCTGGGAAATAGAGAATATCTGAACATCCTAGAACATTCAAATTTCAAAACCAGTGACCAAATGAAGCTTAGTGAAACACTGTCTTACTGTATTGGTAAAAGTTCTGAAGCCCAAATCAATAGAAGACCAGCATCAACTGACACTGGTTCCGGTAGTGTCGTTCCGGCAACTGTATGGGATGGAATGGATCAATACGACTCAGCTCATTTACAACTTTTGGGCATTTGAAAGATTGAGGATCTCCAGGATGGATGAAAATTCTTGAAAATTGGGATCTGCGGAAAATCCACAACTGTTGGTCAACTTCATTCTTTGTGGAACAAATTGGTTGTGGCATGTTGTGGCATCTTCAGGACTTGAATTCTTCGACATCCCAAGATCTCCTGTTTCAAGGCGCCCTTTTTCCGCAGTCGCGGACTTGCCCAACCGCGGGTGAAACAGTGTCACAGTGAGCGTTTCAGCATCCACTTGGGGATCATCCATCGTCCCAGTTCTTGGGTGAACTTTTTCAACACATAATTTATTTCAAACCACTATTAGTATAGGTGATATTATCATAGGTGTATATTATCATCATAATATCAACTATATATAGATGGATGAACTTTATCCATGAGTTGTATAGGTGATATCATCATTAATATTATCCATCATAGACTGGTTGGTGGTATACCATGGTCAAGCCCTACCCCGCTGAAAAATATGACTTCGTCAATGGGAAGGATGACATCCCATATGGAAAATTCCAAACATGTTTGAAACCACCAACCAGTAGACCCATCAAATACCCATCACCCATCACCCATCACCCCTTCGGCCGTATCACCTGCTGAAGTCTGCCGCGTCAGGAGGCCGGGACGATCACGGTCTGTTGCTGCTTCACCGACTTCCTGGGGTCGTCAACCAGAGAAGTTCGTGGCATTCCTTGAAGCAAACAAAAACACATATGATACTGTCTGGAATAAACATATATAAAACAAACTTCACTCATCTGAAACTATTATAATATATTATAATATATTAGAATATATTATAATATATTATAATATATTATAATATATTCAGATACTGTATCACATCTAACTGTATATATTGTTGTTGTGTTTTTCAATCCTTTTCATATGCAGTTTGATCTCATCCTGCAACATGATCTTCTGTCTTCTCAACATCTTTGCGTGTCACCCCAAGCATGTTAGGATGAGAATAAAAAAGTGCTAGGATGTATCATAGTAGCCTGCTTGAACTATGTAAAACACACACGCGCACACACACACACAAACACAACTCAAACAGTGGAAATCGTTTCAAACAAACATGCAGCCCATGCTGGTCAACTCAAAAAGACACATCCACCAAACAAATAACACAACATATGCAAGTTATGTCTTGGTTTAGTAACTATTTCCAGAGCAGCCCTGGCCAAGTTTCTTCAGATTGTACTGCTTGTGGATCTTCTCCAAAATCTCACGGGGCGATGGAGGCCTTTCGAGAATCTGCGTCCACTGGCCATCTTGGCCGGTCACAGGGCGAGTCGGCCAGAGATCGTGTTCTGCACAGACGCCACGCCAAATCATCTCCAAGCCACCCACCTATTGATGCAGGCCCCCCATGGTGGGGATACTATGGGGAAACCAGCCATGCTCAGGTTGATTTATGGATTTATGATGATTTATGGCACAAAAGCAGAAAAAAACTTCCAGGGAACTAAGGCTAAGGGAATTCATGCTCTGGACTCTGTACCTCCAAATGATTTTGCCACCAATTCTGGGAAGGTGAGAAATCGGGAGAAAACGCCAACAAAAAAACATGCAACCTCACTGACTAGCCCACAGTGACTATGACATGAACGTTTACGATGATTGAACAACAATTTGAGATAGTCGTGTGCAGTTGTAAACGACCCTGTTGCCGTAACAATTGTCTTTCCAATTCCGCAAGAGTGGCCAACACTTACCCTCTGGTAAACGTTTACATAACATTACATAACTGATGGGAAAATCTCCATGCTATTAGTGGGTAAATCCACTATTTGTATGGGCCATGTTCAATAGCTATGTTAGTCATTACCAACTATAAATGGGTCATTTTCAATAGCTATTTTGACATAACCAGAGGGTAGTTCCACAGGCCAAGGCTCAGGTGGATCCCTGGTGGAGTTGGTGTTGAAATCCGCTTCAGCTTCTCCGCTCTTCAGCCCCATGGCCTGGATAAAGGTACGGCCAGCTACTAGCGGCGGAGCAGGCTGGGAACTGGGTAGAACCTGCACAAAGAATTTACCCTCTGGTTATCACTAACATAGCCATGGTATAGATGGCCCATTTATAGATGGTTTACCTATTAAAAATGGTGATTTTCCATGGCTATGTTAAATAACCAGATGGTAAATGAATCTAAAACAAAACGCACTGGCGATATTCTGAGGCACTACTGATTAAAAAAAAAGCAGGGGTTCCCCATCAAAGCCGTCGGCTCGAGGCCTGTGCTTGGTCCTGAGCAGCTTGAGCTTCCCAGCGACTACGCTGCAACGCTGCAAAGTTGTGAAGCACTTTACCTTGGAACAGGTGAGACAATGAGACAACATCGATGTCAACTTCAGTGTCGAAGCCCCGAAACCAGAGATCTTCATGGGGGATGAGTTCCCATCTTCCCAGGGTTTGTGTGCGGAACTTGAGTGGGATTACGAGGATCCGTTTGGAGGTAGCAGGTTCTCTTTCATTGTTGGTATGCCTATACAATCCTATACAAATATCTTACTCTCCCAATTGAGCCAGGCATAAATATTGGGACATGGCTCGAAAATATGAACCCAGATTTCTGGCAGTTTCCGGTACTGTACTAAACCGATTGACAGGGTCAGAAATTTGAAGCCACACTCATATATCCTCAGCATTCCTCAACCAAATTGAGATTTGATAGAATCAAAGCAGGGCCATTGATAAGCGCGCAGATTGACTGCAGGTCAGGTCGAATCATGTATGGGCATTTGTGATCATTTGTGAATATGTGCGAAGCAAAGACCACCAATGTTTTGTAGGCCTTGCTTACGTATACAGCAAACACAATTTCCAACGACTAAAAGGGTGACCTGTTGCAGGAGGTGAAAAAAAACACAACCGGCAATTTTCGACAGATGACCCGGTGGAGGCGTCTCACCACCATACCAGTTACAAGTAAATCCAGTTATATAACCTCTTTATTTGGATGTGGGTCAAAATGGAAGACCATTAATGGGACCACAAATGTGAATGTCTAGTTAAGTATTAACCATCCATAATTTTGGGGTACCTAATTTTGACCCATACCCATTTGGAGCATGGGCTTACAAGACCAAAGGAGCCCACCAGTTATGCGAAGTCTCTGCAGACCAGTTGCTGCCTGTCAGCCTCAGACGTGAGAGTCCAGCACATCCCCCAGCGAAATGAATGCCGGATACCCCCTGGTAATTTAACAAAAAACTATGGGAAAATCACCATGCTATTAATGGGAAAATCCACTATTTCTATGGCCATTTTCAATAATGAATGCCGGATACCAAACTCAGTTGTTGTGGTTGAATCCCCTCATTCTTAATGTTTTTCATTTGCGACGCCGCCCATGGGTGTCACCAAGCTTTGGCATATCGCCGATGCCAGGCGCTGCCACGTGGCTGGCGCTCGTGGTTGCCAGCTCCGGCCGCATCCAGGATGAGCTGACGGCGGTACTCGGAGATGATGGTCTGAAAATTCAAGTTGGGATCCCCCAGATTTCCACCTCAGGACCATCGCACATCATGGCACATTGGCACATGCGGAATCCCCAAACAATCAGGGATGATCAGGGTCGCCAGATTGAATCAAGTTGAAGTCAAAGCCCCAGCCCCAAGAAAATACTTGAGCTAAGCTGATAGTCAAACCCCAGATATCCCCAAATACTGAAAGTATATCATGCTATCTTAAACTGAGAAGATTTTGTCTGCCACCCGATCACACAAGCCTCCACCACCGTCTCGATGTGTGGCGGATTTCAATTTGTCCAACTGTCTGAACTAGATCCAACGAAAAACATACCCTCTGGTAATTTAACATAGCTATTGAAAATGGCCATAGAAATAGTGAGTTTTCCCATTGAAAATGGTGATTTTCCATAGTTTTTTGTATGTTTACCAGAGGGTAATTACTGTAACAATTTTACGGTCTCCTAGAAACCTACCTTCAGCAGTTTCTTCATACCATCACTTCTGGGCATCGCCGCATTTTTTTTTCAATGGGTTGAAACGCATACGTATACAGGTCGGTTCAAAAATGGCACTAATATACCTGGTATATGTGGGACCTCCATTTACGGGAATCTAAAAAAATTGGTGGTTTTCCCATAATTTCCATCCAAAACAATGACGCTTTTCCCCCGTAGATATTCACCGCTCCCCAAAGAAATCCCAACAAGACCCGACCTCGGCAGCCCAGCCCTCAGCCATGGCACTGGCCATCTCCCGGAAGACCGAGACCAGGTTGGAATCCGTGCGCTTCAGAACCAGCTCCAAGAACTGCTCAAAGTCCAGCTCTCCCAGGTGGAGATCGTCCACCTGGCAGGTGTAATGTGACTCTAAAATCGCTAAGAGTTACATGGCTCTATCTATCTCTATCTTGGGGTACAACAATATAACAATGTATAACTGTATAACATTGACAATCTCATGGACATATACTAGATATCAATAGATATCAGGTGACGATTCATGTGGTCTTCTAGTCAAGTTTGTATGCTAGAGGGTATGTCATATAGTTTCGCTATGTTTCGCTGTTGGTTTCAACCGTCTGAAACTAAAGGGATAAGAATCAGCATGTTTGAAACAAGCAAACAAATGATACAATGTGATAGAACCGATAGAACCACTATTTTTGATCGTTCCAACCACGTCATGGATCAACAAAGTATAGTCACTCCACCTGGGTTTCTCTCAAACCTTGGGTACCCTCTGGTAATTTAACAAAAAACTATTGAAAATCACCAGTTTTAATGGGAAAATCCACTATGAATGGTGATTTTCAATAGCTATTTTGACATAACCAGAGGGTAATTTCCCATGATTTTCCCATCATTTTCCCCATAAAACCGACCAGCCGCCTGGTCTGCCAGGGCTCTGACATCCTTGGAGTTTTCCGCCAGTCCCAGCGAGATGAACATCGTCTCCTGGGTGCCAAGTCGTCGTTGTCACATCGAAATAGCGAAATAGCGAAATTGGAGGAACTCATCCTACGTGTACTGTATCCAAAATGATGCATTTTGTAGGATGAAGATGGATGAAGATCCAATTTCGCTCACGATTCCCAGCTATTTCGATGTGAAAGCATGTGAACATGTATCAACATATGGGACCGTTCTGGTAGCTTTTGACTCAGTGGCAGGATCTTGTGATTGTGGCGTCCATGGATCCAAAAAAGGGGTGTGTTTAGCAACAAAATGCAATCTGAATAGGGATCATATCGGATCATATTTGTGGTCAAACCCCATATCTTTCCGTAGCCAAATGTGGCTTTGCAGGAACTTGCATACTTGTGGAGGTTTCTTTTGCAAAAGGACAGAGCAAAAATCATATCACTATTATAGAGTCAGGTTTTATCGATTTCTGCATGTGTTTGGGGATTGCTATACAATTTCCTTACCATTTGAGTGTGTCTGAAAACAGGGTATGCTCCTGAAGGGCAAGTTTAAATAATTTTAAGATGAATATTCTAGGATAAACCACTGGATTTTTGGGTACCATATTTTCATCACAAGCCGCTGTGTAGTTAGATGAGTTACATCTTCATGACATCCCCATTGATTTCTAGCCGCTGCCGGCTGCTCCCCCAAGCGTCCAGCTGTTCCAGGTCGATCTTCCCGTTCTCCCCCGACAACTCGTCGAAGTATCGCCGCAGCTCCGCGCGTTCCTGGGGACTGAAGTCCAGGAAGCGATGCTTGTGCGTCAGGTGCATCCATCCTCAGCTGGACTGGGCGTTTTTATGCGTTTTTTCATCTTTTTTTCTGGGATTTTCTGAGTTGCCCTGTAAACTATTGTAAACTCACATATTTTTTTCTTTTAGACTGACAACACCAGGCAGTGCCTGCTTGGGTTTACGTTGAGGGTTCCCTTTGTTCGCATGGGTAAACTAACATAGATCTCGAAAGCTCATTTTCCTATGGGACCAAATATCTATGTTTTCCACATCTATTTTAATTTACCCTATAGGGTATATACATGTATATAATATATAATATATAATATATACAGTAGATATTCTTATGGGGGATAACACTAACAACAGAATGGGAATATCACATAAATCCCCAGGAATTTTGAAGTTCATACTGGCTTGGTGTGTCAAGAAGTTTCTCGAACATTCGAGAACTATCCCAGCCACAACCGGTAACAACCCAAAGAAACTAGCCATTTACTGGCTTCTGGGCATGTGCTCGACTGATACGTAGGGGGTTCCGATGAAGAAATGATCCCCATAGGGCCCAACACATTTCCATCCGGTTGATGGTTCTAGCAACACTCTTGAAAAATGAGAAGGTACATCCCCCATATTGAGAAATATTGAGAATATATTCAGGGCTCGAAACCAACAATTCGAAACCTCCAACCACATGTTCATTTCACTTCAGATCTACAAGAGTGCCTGGGGGTTTGCATCAATGGCTCTGGTAGTTGGTGCTATGCAATATCCTGCAAGAGTCATGCCTCTGAGATGTCTGAAACAGGCAGCAAAAATCAGCAAAACAAAAACACACCAATCTTCCCTGAGCATCTCTGTTGCTTGTGAACATGAAGATATCTCTTCGCCTCCGAAGTCCAACGCCGTGAGTAGATCTGCTGCATGGGGATTGACAAGGGCGGTAAGCTTGGGATGGACGAAGACGAGGATGTGTGTTTCGACATCTGCTTCCGGCCGGGACCTGCATGTAACGACTTAGCCGACATGGCTCTAGGTCACGGCATTTTGTGCACTTCGTGCACCGGGCAGAGTCGTTCTGAGCATGATGCCCTGGAGCCAGAGTGAATTCAATGGCGGCGAATTGGGGCATTTCAATTATATCTCAAAAAATTATCTGGTCCATTTGTTTGAGGTTTAAACGCAATTGTAGACACATGTAGAACTGTAGACACAGGTTTTGGACAGTGATCACTACTGGTGGTACCACCATTAGACACCGGAGGTCACAAGCTGGATCAGGATGGCTTACCTCTGGTAAACATACAAAAAACCATGGAAAATCCACCATTTGTCATGGGAAAATCCACTATATATTTCTATGGCCATTTTCAATAGCCATGTTAGTTTACCAGAGGGTACCTCAGAATGATGTTTCTGGTTCCCAGCTGTGCGCCACGCCGCGACCCCCAATCAGTTGCGACTTAGTGGCGTTGCTTTGCAGCACCTTTCCATCCCTCCTGATGTCGTCCAAGGTTGAGAAACACCAAAAAAACCTCGCGTAGTGTAGAGGTCTTTAAGATCTTTTCAAGTATTCTGTCCAAACATTGTCCAAACACATATCAGTCAGAACAAATTGTCCTGAGCCTTCATCCTATGGCACCTTATCCTTGATTCTTTTGATGTCTTGGGATGTGTCGGTCATCAGGTTCGAACTACAGGTCATCCGTCAACTGCCGGATGCAATTTGGCACTCAAAAAATCATAAAAAATCCATGACCTCCCATTTTGGGGGCTCAACTACTGATCAAATGATTCTGGGTCCAGTGGTGCCCATTTTTTTGGAGCTATGCACCAAATGCACCAGGATTCCCCCGCCTCTGCTTTCGCTGACCCAGTGGCACCAGGTCGTTCTCGTTGCGTACCTGGAAAGGACGCAACGAAGCGCCAAAGATGTTCGTACGATGGGGCTTAGAAATACACATTGGATCACTCACATGTGTATATCATTATATATCATCATTAGTGTTATTGTCTTAATTATCTTAATTCTGCGTTATACTTATGTGTGCTATTTTGTACTATATGTGATTGAAACCACCACCCAGCTATCAGCAAGGGGAAGAAAGGGCCAAGTTGCGACTAGCTCTGTTTTCCTGCAGAAAGCTGGAGCCAAGCAAGGCATCTTGAGTAGTGTTCTGGACATACATGGGGGTTCCTAAAATGAAGATAGGAAAATCCAATTGCAATGGATGATTTGGGGGTACCCCCATTTCAGGAAACCTCCACATTATGACATAAGCGCATTCTGTCCAAAGTCGGAGGCATCAACCATAGCACCATTTCCGGTCAATTGTACCCCATGATGAAGCATACTCCCACTTTCTGCACTTCTACTGGTTCAGGAGCATTAAGACATCTAAAGACCATACCCCAAAAAGGTGGTTGTGATTATATAGCTTTATTAACCATATATTAACCATATGTTATATAACCACATATTACTGCATGGCTTTGTCTGAAAACAAGCTACATTTACCAAATCCATTGGTCAATCATGAACATATTCCCTACTACAATCGCCATAGATTGGTGATAATTATCCCCCATTTTCTGCCGCCCAAATAGGGTAGGCTCGTTTCTCAATTGCTTAAATTACCAGTTGTTGCTGGGTCATATGATATATGTATGTATATATATATATGTCATATTCTCAATGTGCTGCACCCTTGGTTTATAGTACTTTAACATAACCAAAATCTGCTGTCCCCCAAAACCCAAAAAAAAATGACCAATGTTGACCCAATGTCCAAGCACTGGGAGCGCTAACTTGCTTTGGCACGCAGCTTGCCGCTGGGGTCTGCCACATCAAAGACCTGAAACTTGGCACGGAACGATGGAAGAGATCTGACCACTTGGATTCATCGGATACCATGGGCTGCGTGAAACCTGGTTGGTGGTTGGTTAATGGTGGCTAATAGTGGTTAATGGTGGTTGATACATGCATATATATATATATTATGTATATATACTGGTTGGTGGTTTTTCGCCACCCCTCTGAAAAATGATGGAGTTCGTCAGTTGGGATGATGACATTCCCAATATATGGAAAAATAACCCAGATGTTCCAAACCACCAACCAGAAACCTTATGAAACATCGATAATTAAAAAGCAACTACTGACGGTGCACTTGTAAGTCGTAAAGTTTGCACATATAGGTCTTGCGCAAGAAAAAAACAAATCAGTATCAATGCAAAAATGAATATAAATGATATTTCACCAGATATTTTCGGATAGCTGGGAAGACATTTTGTAGGACAGACGAGCAAATGAACAAACCCAGGCGACCTCCATAACTTCTTCGACGCTTCCGACTCGGCCCGCGGCGACCTGAGGCTGACGCCGTGGGGCTGGGGTGGAAACGAAACACGACGGGGGCCGGGCCTTGTTGGCCAAATCCGATAGGGCCTTGGGTTCCACACCCACCTTGGGAGACATGTGCTGTGGCAAAAAAACGGGCTGGGAAAACTTTTCCAACATTGGTCACGGATACAACTATGACTATGATCATTAATATGCCTGTTATGCACGTCTCGTTGCCCCAATGAATACACTTCACCTCAATTTTCCCAAAATGATCACAAGAAAAAGTAATTGATTTCAAGCTGATTTCATCAAAACTTATCTTTCACTACCTTTCAAGCAGTACAGTAGTGGCCACTTTCATTTGGGGCCCAGTGGCTGTGATGCTGCCGCGGACCGAAAGCTCAGGCCTCAAAACTGTAGGCACATTCTCGGCATTGGAAGGCCCATTTCTTGGGACTTGGCCCGGCAAAAACTGGAAAAGACACGGAAAGAAACACCAACCAATATGGATTAATTATTAATTATACAGACATATATATATATAGACTACAACTTTTGTTAGGTCCTGTACCACTTCAACCTGCGTTTTTTTTCTCAAAAAACCTCTGAACAATAGATGCTCATCACGGCACTCGCATCACTTAGGGCAACACCAAACGCATCACTTCAGGCAACATCCAAAAACCACACACTCCTCACACTTTGGACGCTCACTTTGGGCAACACGGATTTCATCACTTTGGGCAACTCGGAAAACATCGTTTTTATGATCATTACTTGACTCAGCCATTTAGGGTTTGGTTGGGGGGTGGGGAGGGATCATTCTACTTACATCATTACTTGACTCAGCCATTTAGGGTTTGGTTGGGGGGGTGGGGAGGGATCATTCTACTTAGATCATTAGTTGACTCAGCCATTTAGGGTTTGCTTGGGGGGGTGAAAACGTCCTTTTGCTCTTGGCACAAAGACATATATGCTACACCATGGGCCGATCTTCTCTTGCACCTGCACACCAACATGATCTCACGCTATCACATCTTCTCCTGACGCGATCATCACCATGAACATGATGAAGATGAAGATGAATAATATTCGGAAGAAGAAAATGCTTATAACAAGGATGATCAAGAAGATGATGATGATCCTGATGATGATGATGATGGTGATGAGGGAATATGTCTTTTCTGGACGACGACGGTGATGATGATGATGATGATGATGATGATGATGATAATGGTGATGATGATGGTGATGGTGATGATGGTGATGGTGATGGTGATGATGATGATGACGATGACGATGACGATGATGATGATGATGATGATGATGTTGAGGTATCCCGAAGCGATGCATGAGGCGTAGCCCGAAGCGATGCACTTGACGTATCCCGAAGCGATGCCTATGCCCTCATCACTGGAGAGTTATCATCCCATTGCTACGGTTTTTCACATCAAAGAATATGGCTGAAACATGCTGAAACCACCAACCAGATCATCATTGGTTACCCTCTGGTTATGTCAAAATAGCTATTGAAAATGGTGATTTATAGTGGATTTACCCATTGAAAATAGTGATTTTCCATAGTTATGTTAGTTTACCAGAGGGTATATATCCCGATGATCTCCCCATCTTGAATGTCAAAATGACCATAGTATAGTTTCCCAATGTGTTCCATATGTTATACTCTTAGTTGTAAAGGGTCAAATATGGTCAAACATGGTCAAACATAAAACATGGCACAGTATTTTGATCCATATGTTACCATCATGTTTCATCTTGGTGAAATTTATATACTTACATGATTTTACATGCAGATCTTAGACATTTAGACATGGTACCAGATTCTACCAGGTTATTTAACATAGCCATGGAAAATCCCTCATAAATGGAGGTTTCTAGCTGGGAAGATCATCTATCAATGGGCCATGGCTTCCATGGCTATGTTAGTCATTACCAGATTTTATTAACCATTGAATTACCCTCTGGTAATTTAACATAGCTATGGAAAATCACCATGCTATTAATGGGAAAATCCACTATAAATGGCTATGTTCAATAGCTTTTTGTATGTTTACCATGGGGTAAATGTTTTATTGAGATCACCCCTTGGCCGAAATTCACAAAAAACGCCGCCGAGGGACGAACCAAAGCCATAGGCACAACGACACACCTGGACGGCCTCCTCGAAAGCACCCGCATTGAGGCAGCCGTCCTAGGCGCCAAAAAAATTGATGACTGTTTGGTGACTTGGAAAGAACACATGTTGACTAAGATTGGTTTAAAGATTGGTTATATAAAGTAATCAAAGATATAAGTTGGTACCCTCTGGTAATTTAACATAGCTATTGAAAATGGCCATAGAAATAGTGAGTTTTCCCATTAAAAATGGTGATGTTCCATAGTTATGTTAGTTTACCAGAGGGTAACATTTGGTAACGTTTTCGAGCAAAAGCTGTAAGCATTGGCCGCTGTTGCTGAGGATCGGCCGCGTCTTTGCGGAAGGTCTTTGAACTGGAACCACTGCCCCAAACCCAGAAATTCCTGCGAAATATGCTGAAAGAAGGTCCAGAAAATCCATTTGGAATGCAGCTGGTGACAGGATGTGACAGGAAGCCCTGCTATCCCCTGCTGTCCAAGGTGCCACCAAGACAGTGTGAGCTTTGCGGTCTGGAAGTCGACCCAACTCACCTCGTTAGTTGCCATGAGTTCACCAGGAGGGCTGTATCCATAGTCACTATGGCCATCTGCAAGGAATGTTTGGTGCTGGTTAATGCTAGCTGCTAGCAATGTCATAAACTACCAATATTTTGATGGTTTAAGTGGCTATTAAGTGGTTGAAGTATACCACCCATTTGTGGTGAATGTGGGGATGGCTTACTATTGCTTTGCGAACATTACTATTTTTTCCCATGAGTGGCTAGCAAGAAACAACTTGCTGACCTACCAAACCAAGCTTGACCGACAATAGCACAGACTTGCCTCTCTTGTAGGGAATCACGCAATAAATAATAAAAACAGTAATGGATTAATTCATACTTCTCTGACTATAATTACCAGACATGTATCATGATGATGGAAATTCCAGTGCTACAAGCACTGGGGACAGTGCATGCAAAATCTTCCTTGTCAACCCACGCCGGGTGTGTCAAGGTACCAATCATCTCTTTGTAGATGTCAAGTGCCTTCTGCACTTTCCTTGCTGACAAATGGTGAAGCAGCCATACATGGTATCTCTGAGAAAATGGGGTTTGTCCGCTTAAACCCTCGTTCAAAAACTTGAAGGCATAAACCATTTTTTCAGCATTGGATGCAGTTGGGGTTGGGGAACTTCAACAGTTTTTCTCCAGTGAAAAAACCATGGTACTTTGCATCCTATCATCCACCAGTGTAATGGACATGGCCAAACGGCCAAACGGCCAAAGCAAACGGGGGATACATCCACCAAGAAGTCCGACACGCAGAAAATCTGGGGAAAAAAAACAATGTCCAGTTGTTGCTTAATGTTGATTAGTGGAAAAGACACACTAATGTTGATTAATGTTGCTTAATGTTGCTTAGATTATGTTGCTTAATGTTGATTAATCCAACATAATCTAACAACAACAGTGGCTACTGGCCGCCAGGTCTCTTGTTCAGCAGGCAGGCTTGCATCAAACAGGTGAAGACCTGCACGTTGAGTTTCAAGTTGAACTCCTCACAGGGCAGCTGCGGCAGGTAGCTGCTTCAGGCACTAAGAGAAAACCATGGACTTCATCGGCCTAATATGGGGGTTCCATGGCTTTCCGGAACATGTATCTGGGTAAATTATAATATTTCACTAACCTGAATTAAGGCCATTTGGGGATGATTTCCCTTATAAACCATGATTTGCAGTGAGGTCGTAGTGAGGTCGTTATAATTTACCCAGATGTATTAAAATGTAGGTTAAATTGATGAAACTCTCCGTATTTGTCAATGTTCAATGCATCGATGTCGTTCATTTCCGCCAGTTGCAAAGGATCTGAAGGAGAGCCTGTGTGGCTCCGGGCTTGGATGCAAAGCTTGGATCATCGGTTGAATCCCCGACCACCTTTGATCAACGATGTACAGTATCTCCACTTTGGGCTTGAAATTGTGGTTGAACATTAAACGATGAATTTTGGACGATTCTCATTTGGAACATTAATCAATTAATCCCCACTTTGGACGTGTTTATGAATCTGGAAAATTATAATTGATGGTTAACAACATACTCATAAACACGTCCTAAAATGGTTGAGCAAATCTGCAACTGCATGGTTCAATCCCACTGGTGAAAGTGCTTCATCTTGATTTGGATGCTGGTTTCAACCCCCCGAAACGACCATCATCCCAAGCAGTTACAGTACCTATTTCTCTTGGTTCAATGCCCCTTTCATCCCATTTCTACAGGTGAGCCAATAAACATACCCATAAACCTCAAGAATGGCTAAATCATGCTTTAAATCCCATTAAACCATATTAAACCATTATTAAACCACCATAAACCATCATTTTTTCATCGGTTGACATCCCAACGCGCCTGGCGGTAGTCCTCCGCCAACTTCAAGGCCTCGTTGAGGCGCTTGGCGCGGCCCAGGAGCTTCACCATGATGCTCCTGACGTCGAAGCGTTGAAGAAATTCCTGGTTGGGAGTGGCTTTAGATTACTTTAGTGGCTCAAAATCTTCACAAACTTTTTTGGAGTCAACACCGTTTTTTATTGGAATGTTTTTAAATGTGTTTTTGGGGTAGTGGGAACTTTAGTGGACGTAGAGTCAAGATTGGGGCTTTGATCCGGGTTGCAAAGCTTTTTTTGTGCGTGATCGTTAGGGATTCGATGATTTTCTGTTTACATCTTATTCATATCGGGTGGTGTAAGATTTCTTTCTCTGAGTTTGAGAGGATACAACAGTACAAAACAGCTTAGTACTTCAGTTTTGAGCTGAGTTGTGCCCCGAAACCAAACTGTAACCCGCAGTTCTCATGGATACTTCATTCGGGCCGCTCAGCTTGCAACACATCGTGATCTTTGCGGCCAAGTCACAATGTATAATTGGACGGCTGGATACCAACACCTCGCAATGGATGCTGGGAACGGAAGGCGTTGGTGCAAACTTGTGGGCAGCTTGCCTGGTAAGGGCCAATGTGTGTGTGTATATATATAAATAATACTTATATTACTATAATTATATTATAATATATGTATATATATATAATACTTATATTATCTTATATGATCTTATATGATGATTTCTGTTCAATCGACAGAGATGGACGGAGAATGTTAAAGGTTCTTTCCATATTTTTCCAGACACCCTCTTGCGAATCTTTCTGTCGGCTTGTGGATGCAAGAATAAATTCATGCATTATCACCAAAACGGTATCATTTTTATGATCTTCAAATCGTCAACCACTACCTTCCCTTTAGGCTTCACAAAGTCCTCAAAAAATCAGCGACATTGTGCACAAGTCCATAATACCCGTGACCCACAAAGATCCACCAGGGTGCTGATCATGTCCTGTAGGTATTCCATCGCTTTCTGGGGCTTCTGTTTTCGGCTGCAGCCATCCAGCAGGGAATTGTAGACCTGCAGCGATGTCGCATGCAAGTCATGATGTGATCCTGGAATGGAGCTGGCGTCTTCCCACAAGTGGCATGACAGAATGGCACGTCCACCAACGCCAACCACAGTGGCCTCTCACATCCATAAGGTCTTTCCCCACCCTCCACCAGCCAGGTATAAAGTGATATATGCCTTGCCCCTAAGAAGTTACCAAACCATACCCTCCGGTAAACTAACATAACCATGGAAAATCACTAATTATTTTTAATGGGTAAATCCACTATTTCTATGGCCATGTTCAATAGCTATGTTGACATAACCAGAGGGTACATGCGCCATCAGCTCGCTGTCACTTCAAACGAGCTTGGCCAAATTTGGCCAATCCGCCAACCGGTGACACAAAGCGCCAAGCTGCGATTTCATCCAAATCCAGCTTCCCATCGGCTTTCAATTCCTCAAAGAGTTTGAAGGCGCAGTCCAACTCACCTCCGCTGGAGGAAACGAGCTCCAATGGACCAGAAACCAGTGAGGGACAAGCAAACAGAAAAAAACGTTCTCCATGGTTCCACAAAATCTCATCCCTAAGATAAAACAACATATCAGAGCTTTCCTGGCTGACGCTGATTTTTGGAAGTCAAACCATACGAAAATTGGTAGCCATCAAAACTAGGGAGACTAAAAACTATGTTCAACTCCTTGGCTCTGATGGATGCTGACTAGTAGTAGCAAATCGGACCGAGACCTGCGATTAGGTCTTCAATATTCAACAGCATACAACAGCCACATTATGAGTAGTGTTAACCTCACCAATAGACATTTTTTTAACCTTCCAGATAGGGGTAAACAGTTAAACATGAAACAGCAAAAACAGTCTCCTATCGATGAAGGGCCGTGAAATCAGATCCACCTGCCACGCAGTAGCCCTTGATCAAGGTGGAATAAGTGATGCGATCGGGCTCCACATCACTCTGCCTATCGCTCCACTTTGAAGTTCTGAAGTGGGAGGATCATGGAGGATCTACAAATCTCACTTGGAGTGAAACATAGGGCTAAAAATAGACGAACTACTGAACTTCTCATACCATTTCAAACGAGCGCAGTGGGGCTTTCTTTGGGGGCACAGTGGGGTTTTCTTCCCTGTCCTATCAGGATCCTGAATCTCTATGCTGCAGCCACTACTGGCCCCACTGGCCCCACCCTGCCAGGGTATCCTCCCTCCGCCCTGCTTCATCTTCTCGAAGATGGCAGGGACCCGTGACATAGTTCCACACTTGGCACAGGCATCCAGCAAGGTGTTGTAGGTGATGGTGTTGCCAGGGATGCCTGAACACAGGAAGCCGACGCTAGAAGTTCTACCATGTTATACCATAAGTATCCATAAGTTATACCCACCATCAGTGGCTCATGGCTCACTCCTTTCACACCAATATCAATCAAATCGGGATTCTGATGATATATTATACAGTGTTATACTATTATTATTACTATTATTATTATTTCTATATATATATATATTATACATATTTGTACAGTTCAACCATTTTCAGCAATGGAAACCACCGCTCTGCGCGCTTAAACGAATCGCTCCCACCGCAGAGCCCGTTGCCTTGCGCTTCCATCTCCTCGAGGGTGCGGAAACACTTCTCCGCCTGCTTCGCTTGTGCGAAGCCCTTGATGATGGACGAGTAGATCACCTGGGGATCACCGAAAATCACCGAGGATCACCGGGGCACAAAAGGTGAAAACCAAGGCCCAAAAGGAAGGCGGCAGCAAAGTGGAATATTGGCCTGTTTTCCAAGAAATCTATAGAAATCTAACAACATCTAACAGAGTGTTCACAGAGTTCTTCCAAGACAACCAAACTTAGGAGAATTTTCACCAATAACACGGTAAAGTGAGGCCATCATGCTGCAAAACGGCCGTGACCAATCGTGACCAGGTGACCAGGTTGTGTATCCATAGAAAAGTCGACATGAATCAATGAATCATCCACTAATTCTACGTTGCAGCCTTGATGTTCAGGGTTTATTCGAAGGCACACCATTGCCGAGTGTGGCATGGCATATCGAGTTAAATTGGCAATAGCTAACTAAAGGGTGATCGCACCAACTTGGGTATTCAATGATACTCATACTTGTGGATTCAAAATTGGATACAAGTGCATTGGAAATGTGATTGCTACCTTCTAACAACAACCAAAATCTGCGGGGTCTCAAATTCTGACCGAGACCAATCTCATCTTGCGTTCAGTCACTGTGTTGAGAATCGAACTGTCGCCATTGGATGCTGTCTCACGGACCTCATACCGCAGTCAATGCTGACCGTAGCACAAAGAGGATGGATAGAAATCAAGAGAAAACTAATGTGGTAAACCCAACAATAAACCATTGTCAATACCACCAGAAACTAGTGGTATACACCCTCCATAATTGGATAGGGTTTACCGCATTGTAGAAAATGGATTATTCATGTTGAAATCTCTCAGATCAACAGTGTGCCGTGTAAATGTGCTGTTCTACCATTGTGATGGGGAAGCTGTGTCAACGGTTTCCGTAATCAGTACAGCAAAGGCCTCTCAAGATTCCAGACTGTCCAAATTGAGAGGACTACTGAGTGACTACTGCATACATCATCCATGCTATATCTTCCTATGCACCTCTTACGACTTCTTTCAACCCGTCCACAAGAACGGAAGAGTCGAACGAAACGCCTATGGATTGCCGTGACAGCGGAACTGAATCCATTGGGCCCACCAAATCTGCCAGATCACGAGTCCCAAAGTGCATCATTTCTATTCCAAATATGGCTTTGTCTGAAACTAGGGCACCTCCAGAAATTTCATGCTTCATTGGCCACAACTGGTGGGTTCAATAGTTCAATCCCCCATTGACCAACCCACACCCTGCGCCCTATCGTTGGTCAAGCTGCAAGCTTCGCGGCCTCCTCAACCGAGGAGCAGTTCACCAGCGCTTCCACCATACATCCCAGCGTCACGGAGGATGGGCTGATGCCCTTTTCGTGCATTAACTTCCAGGTGGACCTGCAAAAAAGAAGGGCCAGGACTCCAGGACTGGCGATCTGCATAAGATTTGAAACATATACTCGTAGTGAGTCACTGAAGCAAGTGGAAACAACGACCCATCGACCCATCAACAAAATCATTATCTCATCTTGCATATGCATTCACCTGTGCATGTACATGCATGTGTACCGTAAATGCGTATGCAATGATGCAATGATACACTGCTGCTGCAAGTGCCACATAGCTGGTACATTAGTAATCATTAGTACAAACGTCAAACATCCGATTCAATGCCACCCTGGGAGCCCCAGCCAAACTTGTTGCAGGTCTGTGTTCTGCCCATGCAACTTGATCATGGATCCGAAGGTGGCAGCACTGCCACTCGTCTTCCTCAACTCATGACTGGTTGGTGTAAGAGCCATGCCCAGAACATGTTACAAGTGGTTAGATTCATCATCTCCTAGAGATAGATAGAACATCAAATAACATCAAGGAACCATATACAGTAAAGTTGTTTTTTCAAATTTGAAATGCTAGGTCATCATGGCTTATCTTTCTTTCCAACCACACCCCTGTCCCTCTGAAGCAATCATGAACAACACAGAAGGAGGGGTTCAGCCTTCTAACAGCTAAATGATGCAACTGCCATAAAAATGGGCGGCAACAAACATATTGGCTTTGTCTGAACATAGGGCATTGACAATTCCATCGGTGAAAAGATGTGCAAAGCATCAAATTGTCCATTTACACATAGCAATTTGGGGCTATCCCCTTTTTTGGTCAAACCCCTATTCTTTTGCCCAAAAATGGATTTGCTCAAAAAACATGTATGTTTGTTTAGCTCAAAATACACACCCAAAATTTGCCAAGCATCTTGCTGCGAAGGGTGCCCAGCCTCAGCATTTTTTGAGCGCAAGTCGATGTGGCTTGCGGCGTCACTATAGAGAGCTCAGCTCGTTTCTCTTCTTTTACGTCTCGAGATGTGCCCAAAAGATAGATAATTAACATGTCAGGGATGGATTTTTAAAATCTGTGTTGAAACCTCTGTGCTGGAAAACAATGTACAACACCTTTCGGCGGTCTGAAACGGGAACGGAACATCCAGGCAGATCCGTAGTCAGGGAAAAACATCAAAACATACCCACACATTGCCCACTCCCAGTGATCCCCGCCTTCGGAAACCTTCGCCATTTTCTCTGAAACATAGTTTTGGGCAGCATATTCTGACAGATTTTTTACATATATTCTGACATGTTGTCAGAGATATATTCTGATATATATTTCTAGCATATATTCTCACCTGTGTTCAGAGATATCTTCTGACACAATGTCTGAATGCATTAACTGCAAATGAAGAATATCTCATCAGTTAATGCAGAATATCTCATCAATGGATGACACAATCTACAGTACCCTCAAATTAAGTTTAAACCAATCTCCATCCCAATTTTTAATGGTTGGCTCATGTCATCAAGCTCAGTTGAATTGCTGATTGAATCTCCATGAATCAGTCTCCTTTTTGTTTGTTGCTTCAACCGTTGAATCCCTCTCTTTGTGGGTATAATCATTGTTTTTGTGAGTAGTTCACAATTCTTATCCATTCTTGCCAGTGAAATCCAAGTTTTCTTGGCAAAAATCCATAAACATCCCAATTTATCATGGTATATCATGGTAAACACCATTTTTAATGGGTAAACCATCTATTTCTATTGGAAACATCCCAATTCATCATGGTATATCATGGTAAATCCATTCAAAATCCAGCACGTTACCCTCTGGTAAACTAACATAACTATGGAAAATCACCATTTTTAATGGGAAAACTCACTATAAATGGCCATTTTCAATAGCTATTTTGACATAACCAGAGGGTACATCCGGGATCACCTTTTTGCAGCGTTTCATCCACCGTTCAACGCCCGGGCCACGTGTCCATGAAGCGACTCGCCAGCTGCGTCTTCTGCGTGCGGACCGCCGCCTCCACGGCCTGCGAACAGAGCGCCTCATCCAGCGGCTCCGAGAGCTGCTCGATCAGCGCGAAGGTGCGATCCACCTGGGGATCCCAAGTCGTCACTGAAGTCATATTGACAAGAAAATATGCATATGTATATACAATATGTGTATGATGATGTATATGTATGATGTATATATGTATGATGTATATATGTATGATGTATATATGTATGATGTATATATGTATGATGTATATATGTATGATGTATATATGTCTATTGATTGGTTTTATTAATTGTTGATATAGAACAACCCAAAATGTCTAATCATGTGGTACCGTCTGATAGTCATGGCAATGGAACACCCCTTATTTAAAAATGATTCTCCCAGCTGTAAGCCTCCAGATAGACGGAAATTGCCAGCCAGCTATGTTTGATTGTCGGAGGGTAAGCCCAACTATGGGGATATACCTTGTTTTTTTTTTTGGGGATGTTCAATCTTAACCAATTACAGTACAGTATCTACAGTATCATACAGTATGTGTTTGAAACCATTTTGTAATCAACAAATATGGGGATGTATGATGATGTATAGTCTGTATAGTCGATATTTACACTTGGGATACACTGGGATGTAGAATTATAAGCGATTTAGATGCTTCCACCGCGAGTGGGATTCCATGGTGTTTATATGGGATAGAACCCATTATGTATGTCAGTATTTACTGGATATATGACCAACATCAACCAACAATGTGATATGGGGACCGAAGGGGTGTAGAGTTAACCAACAAATATGGTGATGTACATGTGGGAAAAGACATCTATATGGTTGGTGATATCTCCCATTGTATCCCAAACAATATACCCATACAAATATTCCAATAGTAATTCTCATCAACCAGTCCCTACTATATGAGCGGCGGAGAAAATTACAGTACGTGTTTGTCGAAACGCCATAAACAGCAACCTCTTCGTTACTGTATTGCTGCAACAAACAACCAGCTGGACAAACCCATGGTCTGGGGCCATTCCACTTCAAAGCAGCCGAATCAATCCCAATGACTTGAATCTAATGCCAGGTTTTTACCCCATGATTCAAAACAAACGAAATGAGCAGTGTTCAATAGTGTTCATAAGATTCCTGTTGGATCATTGTTTATATAATCATATGATAATCCCCAGTAGATTTCAGTAGATTGGGTAGTCACCGAACTAATCATCAACCAACCAGGCTTCAGGGTATGACATGAGTTTCGCCGCACCAAACAAATCCGCCTCCTCGGCTGGAGACTCAGCTGTGATCCTGGCGGGAAACTCCATCTTGATGCAATTGATTGATGAGGTCAGTAGTCTTATGATTGTTGTAAATACTTGGTATTGTTAATTGGTATTGTTATTAGACTTGATTCTTCCAATATGTTTAAAAAGAAAAAAACACATTATGAGTTTCATTTCATTTCATCATTCTTGTTACTACTATTGTCTATTGTCTACTATTCATTATTGCTACTGATGATGACGACCATGATCATGACACGGATTTTGGGCCAGATCTTCTTGGGGAGATATCCAAACAAACCTCTGACAAGTCCGGCCACACCAGCTAATCTGTCAAATCCAATGTCATTCTTTGAGGTTAAATGGTAGATTTCAGGGCCGCTCGACACCTTTTTGTTACTTTTCCCGCTGGTTTCATGATATTTCAATTTTTCACCATCTTTCACCTGTCCTCTTCAACAAGATGGAACAAGCAGCGTTGGTAATGCCAAACTCTGTGCTCTGCATCCAATCCTTGGCAAATCCAGGATGCGAGCATTTTAGAGCCGTCCTACCGTACCATTCAACCGAATTTCAACTGATTTCATATGGGGATGGGTCAAAACCCTGGTACCTAGTGAACCCCAAAATAGCTGGGATTTATGGATGTTCATCCCACTAAAAATGTATCTATAGGTATTGATCCATACCCATATGTTCACTTTTATCATCCTTCATCCATTCCACATGCCGTTGTCTGGAGTTGATGTCCTCGTTTTGCGTGGTGTTCCCAGTATTGATGGGTGATAATCCTCATTTTTGGTCGTGGACTTCCGTACGTGTGCTGTTTTTGAGCTGGTTTTACATGGCTTGTCTGGTTCATCCCCCGCATGTTTGTTCTTAAATCCCATTTTTGCTTAGCATATCCACAGGTTCGGTAGGTATGAGTGCGTATATCCCCAGATCGTTTGGCGTTTCTATCCACACATATCCACACATATCCACAGTCGACGGTCTTAATGGGCTGAGTCTCACTGAGTCGTGACTTCCATATTTTGCTTCTCAAACCAGTTCTATTCTCCATTTGTTCCAGTTTCTTCCAGTACCCAATGTACCCAAGGTTGCTCCATGTTGCTCCCACCAACCCCTAGCAAAAGGCCGGGAACTTGTTGGCTACCCCATCCAAGGCTGGGAAACCTACCACATATTTTCAGCTTTCCCACTCTCGTACACCTACCCCTTGAAGAAATTATTCCAGGAAAATTATTCAAAAAAACATATTCCATAAACTAGTTGATACCCTGGATTTTTTTTTTAGGGATGGATCATGTTACTATACTGGTGAGTTCCACCAGTTTCTGCATCGGCCCGAGGTGCCACGATGCGCCACACGCCTTCAGCATCATTCGCGCGCGTGCGGTCGCTCAGCAACTCGGCGATAGTGACCTGCCGCTTTCGATGTTGTCCCCCTAAGAATTACCGGGCTACAAATGGGGGGTTCTTAAGTCATGGGGGATCCCCAAGTCACCATAGGTTTCAATACCAACATGATCATCCATGATTTACCCGGCTAAAACTAAAACCCTGCGGCGCTTCAGTTCCAATATCATCCCAGCTTTGAAATGCTCACAGCTTCAACCCATTTGGCAGTGTGTCAAAACCAATAGTACCCCTGTAGTTCACATCAAAATAGCTGGGATTTATGGATGTTCATCCCACTAAAAATGGTATGTATAGGTATTGCCCCATACCCATTTCAACCCCCAGTTGTGAATCGTTTAACGATGTTCCAATCGTACACCACACTGTTCCCCAGCTGCCACTGCCCGCTCCTTGTTGGCGGAGAGGCCGTGCTCTCTCATGTCACGCAGTAAAAATTGAGCCTCAAGGCCATGGTGTGGCGGCAACCATCCAAATTTAACATGGAATGCATCGTTTTCAAAGGAACCATCTGCAAAAACCCAGTGAATTCAGTTGAAATGTCTTGAACCATATTGAACCGATGATTTGTGTTGCGTCCATGTTAGCCAACAATGATAAAAACAATCTCTGATTCCCAAGATGGATGACCGTCATCGGATGACCACGCCTCGTCGCGCTTGCCCGCACAGAGCAAGGAACGCAACATGATATTGAAGGTAACCACATCAGCTTTCCTGGACGAAAACTGATTTTTTTTTGTGTTGGAGATATTGGATCGGAGCAGTTTGGAAAATACCAATATCAACTGATCAACCAATCAACAAATCAGTCCATCAATCAATGAATATCAAACAGTCAACCTATCCATTTTTCCTTCCTTCTTTCTTTCTTTTGTTTTTTCTCTCTTGTTCTGTTTTGATTTTCCTTCTTTCTTTTCAATCTATCGCAATATACCAGAATCTGTCATGAACTATGATAATCTTAAAAGAAAACAAACAAGCAAAGAAGCAGGGAAAAACAAAGAAGCAGGGAAACAGAATCCAAAAGAACACCAACAAAAATAGAAAAAAAACACATGCACCAAAAAAATAACAATCCTTTATTCATTCAGATTCATGTCATTCCTTCATTTGTCGCTCGTTCGTTCATTCATTCAGTCAGTCAATCATTTCATGTCATTTGGTATCGTTTCGTTTCGTTCGGTTTCATGTCATTTCAATTTCATCTCATGCAATTTTATTCTTTTCAATCATCTCACGTCACTTGGTCAATCCAACTGACACTGACGGCATACAAAGGGCTTCGTATCGGAGCCCTTGTCGCTATAACACATTCTTATTTATGAAGCTTCCGCCCCGCCTCGCGCAGGCACTACATAATCCATCATATTCTATCATCCTCTATCACAATCCATTACGATCTACACGATCTATCATCTATCATAGTCATTCATAATCTATCTTATCTATTGATTTATAATATATATATATATATATAATACATACAAGGCAGGATCTTTCCATATCCCTTCCTCACAAGATCCCACAGATCGCATGTTTGTCAGCCAAGTATCTTCTCAGCTTTTAGCTGATTGAACAACTCAGTGGCAGTTTCTCCCGCTGCATCTCCACCTCAGTAGAAACACGTAGAAACTGACCATGGCACTGGGAAGGTTAGAGTCCTTGTCAGCCACAGTGAAAGGATCTGAAAAAACCACTGCAGTTCGGAAACTGGAGCTCCAGAAGTCTAGTAAGGATTGCTGAGTAAGTACTGTAAGTGTACTGACATTCATCATCCCAATCTCCTGTTCAAAATCACAGCCAACCTTTAGAAAAACTAGCATTGACCCGCCAACAGCGCGTGGTTCCCAGCTACATTGGATCAGTGCGTGAAGCAAGGCGTTCTGAATCTCTTGATGCTGCCGACTGGAGACTCCCGATGACAATGCCTGCGGCGAAAAAGACCAGCACCGTGGTCTCTGGCTGTGGGGTTGCTGTTGTGGTTGAGGCTTCCAAACTTGGGAAATTCGATGACATAATATATAAAAGTAAGGATTAAGTTTGGAACGAACACCAGAAACATCAAACATCCTCAGCCTTGTTCATATTGGCACACAAAATCCCATCTCCCAAATACAAGCCCCACGCCCATGGTACTGCGAAATGGTATCCTAAAATGTCCTAAATATGTGTAAATCCTCTATTTAACCATGGTTACATGGAGTCTTCAACATGAACCGGGGATGGGAGCTTCAACGTTGCCCACCATCTGTCATCCCTGCGAAATGTCGATCAAAATCCCGCAGAAATCTGTCGGATTTATGAATGACTTCCCCCAACTTCTCCCCGTCACCCATCAACTTTATAGCATGTTTATGTTATTTTTTTTTGCACATGCCCATTGGACCTTTCCGGTGCGGCTGTCTCTCGAATTCTCGGTTTATGTTATAATATATCTATATATATAATATATATAATATAATATATATATTATATATATAGAATATATAATAAATATATATATATAATATTTATTTATATAGGTTATATTGTTGTTTGTCTCTATACAGTAACAGATAAAGTTATTCTACAAGGGCCATGATGGGATGACTACTATAGTTTTATCCGTCACCAGCTCAGTACTAACACTCTTCGAATGGCACTGCATCCCGAGATAAATCTCCCGTTAAAACCATGATTATAACATATTATAACCGTTATAAAATGTTATAAATTGTATATAATTATATATATAATACATATGTTCCCTTATATATCTGCCTGATCATCAGGTTCATTTTTGCCTCGACAAACCACAAGCAAATGTCATGTACCTCAATAATATTCCATTCTCTCCCCCTGCTTTTCTACCTCAAGACGGTTCGTTCACATCTGAAATTGCCAGATAAGAGGATGAACATCACCATCTCTGATACTGACATTCTCACATGTTTGAAAGTTAAACCAACATCTTAAATGCTGATGTATGTTATGCTGCTGTTTATTGCGAAGTATTGAACTATCAACATTTTGACAATAATATGCCATACTTATCATCATCTTCAACGCAAATGTAACTTCAATTGATGTTGAGGGCAGTTAAAGATAGTTAACGTATATTTTTTAAGTATATTGAAACACAACACTTTGACAATAAAATGCACCCTTATAGTATCTTATACTTAATTTGCCATCTTAAATGCTGACCTACCTTATTTGATCTGGAATGATCTGGAACAAAACTATAACTTGTACTCGCCAACCTGAAAGGTTTGACCTTTTTATCCAGATTGATCTGGGCTTGTCTGAAAAATAGGGTACCTCGAATCATTTCTCCCTTTACTTCTTAAACTGGCCATTGGAAAGTATTCCCCCGTTGGCAAGCACACCCATGTATGATATTGTTGCTTATGCAATGCAACAAAATCCGCAGTATATTCTCACTATACATCCTATATCCTCATATTTGTTGGCTAACTCGGCTAACTTACCCATTTTCAGACACACTCATCTTAACATTATTGGAACTAACCATCTAAATCCCATCGAAACCTCCATGAATTGTTGGATTCCGCCGCCTCCTCCACCACCTGCAAAGCGCCCTCCAAATCCTTGGCCTTGCCACAGGACCGGATCCTGGCTGCCCAAGGGTTGGGCGCCTCGTCCTTCCGTGCTGCACCTGGGGTGTTTTTGAAGGCTGAACAACCGATATTAACCAATGATCACCTGTGATAACCTGCGGATTTTGGCGACTTTTTGGGATTTGTCAGATTTGTTCATGTTCTTTTTTCCGACAAAAAACTTTGCATTGCTTACCATGTACCGTTCAAAAACTAAGGGGTAGATTTGGGGATCGGCAGGGGATAGCATCACCCAAGTATGAAAATCTGGCGGTTTGAAGTGCATGAAAAGCCAAAATTCGGCTGGCAAGGGATCAAATTGGCTATCTTTCGTGTTGGAAGGAAAACATTCAATTTTTGAAGCCAATAACATGAGTCATAGCCAGGGGCATTCAAAAAGCAAGGAGCATGCAAGTAAGCAAGTTAAAATCTAGAAACACACCTGCATCAACAAACTTTGTTGGGAGTGGAAATAATGGCACAACAGATTCGATTTGCTGGGTGTGCTCAGTGCTCCTGTTTAAAGCATCTATGTTCATTCCAGACCAGCGTACGAACCCTTCCTCGCATCATTCCTCATCCAAAACCTTCTAGAACAGTCATGGACTTAGCCAATGCTGCCCATGTTGTTCCTTGTTCCTCATCCAGACCATCCCAGCCTTCTCGAACTTTCTTGGCCTTCGCCTTCTTTTTTGTCCTCGCTGAAATATCTACAAGCAAAAGCACCGCCGGCCCCCCTGACGGCCGTTGAGTTTCGCCCGGGTGCCTCTGTGCGTCAGCATCGCCTGCATCAGCTTCCGGCTGCATCTGCACCTGAAGATTGGAACATCAAAGAGGTTTTTCGGTGGTCATTACAAAGCAAACAAAACATCATTCAACCAAATTCACAATCATGAAGACTTTGAATCTATTTGAATCTCACATGATCTAACATCATCTAACAACACTTTGGATCTTACAATCACACCATTTTTGGGTGCCCTCGGGGTGTTTTGTGAACTTGGCACCACTTTGGAGCCCTTTTGGCCGCCGCCTCCTCTTTGGCCGGTGCCGGCTTTTCCGGTTTCGAGGATGCCGACGGCGCCGCACCCTGGCGTGGTGGCTGGCCCTCCGGTTTCATGAAACGTGGCTAGCTGGGAAATTCATTATAAATGAGGTTTTAATGGTGGAAAATCATCTATAAACGGTAGATTGTCCATGGCTGTATAGTATATATTGCTAGATTTGATTACCGAAGCGTATCTCCCCCATTGCACGACCTCACCTCGCTCTGCTGAAGCTTTGCAGCAAGGACTTCCTGAAACTCATCTTCCTCCTGTCGCTGGGTTTCTCAGGGTTCAATTCCCATGTTTGTTTTACTTTTTGGCATCCTCAATTTCTTTTCAATTCTGATCAATCCGACAAACCAATACATTATATACATTATACATCATTCTACGTTTCTTCCTCTAGACTCTAGATCTCGAACTACCATGATGTGAAGCCGTTGAGATCGTCCTCCTTCACATACCGGTAAAAAATCGATTTGAAGGGTTTCTTAAAGTGGGGGATCCCCAACTCACCATAGCTTTCACTACTAGAAGATACTAGAAGGCTCTAATTTTGGATGATTTGGGGGTACCCCCAGTTTGGCATGCAGCCCACTGATGCAGTTTCCCGAATGGCCTCCAAATCGGCCCACAATGAGCCATCTAAGCCACTTCGCTTGGGCTTGGCTGACGGCTCTGACACCTGCAGCTTCGAGGGTTGCATTTTAAAGGGTGTATGTGAACATGAGGTAACGGTTTACCGGTATACCGGCGGTATACCGGTATACCATTTAATAGGGACTCATGGGCATATAATATCATATAATATAGGAAAATGAGGTAGTATACTCATTTAATCCCATTAATCCCATTTATATAACGCTGGTTATATAATCATTATTATTTCATAGTAACTATTTCATAGGAAAATTGATGATTAACCAATGGTATCAAGCCATGGCCCCAGCATTTTGGTTATCTTTTAGCACTAGAACCATCATGAACCATCCAAATCTTGGGACTTTGAGATTCCAGCAGGAAATCATCTTTGAAACCAGGTTTTTGTACTCAGAAGTTGAAGATCCTCTCAGCATCTCCAATGTCAATGTTGACCCACTATCAGTCACTAAAAGCTGGATGTCTTCCCGACTGACCACTTATCGCTAAAGCCATCCGCAGTCATGTTCAATCTCCCCATTGTTTGTTGCACACATCATACCGGAGGCCGTTACTATTGTTTTGGACCCCATATACTGCTCTAGACTCCATTCATGTTGCTCTAATCCCCCTGTCTTTGCGGGTGGGTTCAAATTGGGCACCCCTAAATTGACTGTCTAGGGATATCTCAGTTTTGCTGAACATCCCGATGTTTGTTGGCTACACCTCAGATGGGGTGAGTCACAATTAGGGTATGAAAGGGCCCGCTAGGTCACAGAAATGACCAATCCATCTATCGTGCTCTGCACCCTCAATTCTTAATTACGTTTTACTTTTTGGAGGTCTAATTTGGATGTACACTTCAAGTTTTGGATGGTAAACAATCACATTTTTGATGGTAAAAACTCACCTTTTCTTTTTAGCGTTGTTCAGTATGGTTCAGGACATGTTAAACCCCCCATATTCATCCCTAGTCAACAAAGACCATTCCAAGATTTTCATAGCTCAACACCCCAGCAGCTCAGCTCCGGCATAGCTCCGGCCTTCTCGGCCTTGGCCGCAATGGCTGTCTCCGAGGATCGCCTGGAAGCAGCTTTGCTGGTCTCCTTGGCGCCTGGGGCCTCGACGGCGACCGGGGCCGGAACCTGGGCACGGGGGACATCTCTGGAAAGAATGGCGCGCAGTAGCGGGTCACCAGAAATGGGACATTGAACGAATCCAAACATTGGAATTATGGTTGATTTAAGCATCACACATTGGGATGAAACTGATTTCAAGGATTTTTTTTGGCGTCCAACAAATATTAACAAATGGGATTTGACAGTCAAAAACCATAGGATTATGGGATTGATCAGATCAGCAAATGGAGATTTGAACATCGGGATGTTGCCAACAGCGGAAATGCTGTGGGGGTCACCCTGTTATTTGTGGTGATGATGTGGTACCACACGGACCACACGTGGATTAATTATGTATGACCTGCAAACATAGGGGGTTGATCCTCAAATTGCAGATCAAAGGGGCTCCAGCAACTGTAACAGTTCGTTGAAGTGTCAGCTTCTGGCAAAAATGAACCTTTCGTTTTAGCTGACTTTGGCAACACCAGTTTCCACCTGGTGTAACATCACTCTGTCCATCCTTGTAAGGGTCCATTCATACTAGTCCATACGCGTCTGCTGCTTGGTTTACACGAATGCAAGCAAGTAGCGTCATCCTTGACTGAGGCTGTTTGCATAGTGAAGAACATGTAGATAGTGTGTACCATCAATGCAGCACAACAAGCTTCACACAGCCATGGAGAATAGTTGACCTTGGCGCGCTTGCGCCCTTTTGTTGGGCGACCAATTTTTGGGATCCCAAAAACTCATCGGAAACCCCGAACAGTTTTATGGGTTATATACCCGTTATATACCCGTTATATATCGTTATATATCGTTATATCATATTATATCCCATTTTTGTTGGTTGAATCATGTCAAATCATCACGAGGCAAAGTAGACTTCCTCCACACCTACTGAAAAACCACTTGCCTGATCCGGTTTGGCTTTCCAACAGGACCCCACAGTTGATCATTTTACCAATACTGACAAACATGACCAAACATCTTGCTGTCCCAAAGATGATTGATCCTGCTGGTATGACAATCCTCACATGGCGATTGAGAATTTTGCGGCGCACCAAACAGGCCACATACATTTGCACACCAAGTGTGAACCAAGCAGCAAAGAACTTGGAGATGCCGATGGACATCATGAAAACAACCTCAACTTACAACGAAGAAATGCAGCCAAGCATAGCAAAGCCATCCAACCCCAGTCAATTTTCCCAGCGGCTCAAGTGTCGCCGCGCTTCGAATAATGGACAGATCTTAGGGATTCGGTTCTTTTTTGGTGAACGCACTGCCATCAACCTCCTCGGGGATCAACAAAAACACCATTCATTTCCGATACCCGGCCTGGTAAACATACAAAAAGCGATTGAACATGGCCCAGTTGAAATAGTGGATTTAGCCTGTTAGTTTACCAAACCCATATGCTCCATGTATGGTATATTTACCTACATTTGGGTGATTTTTAAGGCAAATGTTGGTAAATATTCCATACATGGAGCATATGGGAAAGGGTAAGTCATTGGGGATGTCACAATTCCGCCGTCGAGTCTGGCAAGGTGCCTGAAAGATCAGGGCCTGGAGCCTGACAGGGCTCGCTTCGCCCAGCGTCGCTTCGCTGGTCGCGTTGGCACCGTCGGCACCGGCAGCGACGCGAGGAACGTCGAGGCAACGAAGGACCAGCAGCATGATCATCAACTGAGATGGAAAAATTGTGCATCACACTTCTTGGAATCTTGCCAACAAAAAAAACTTAACATCATACTTCCATAGATTTCCAGGGAGTTAGCGGTATTATATTATAGATGGCCTGGTGAAAAATAGCCCTATTATATCCTTTTAACCATTTTGCAATGGTGTTCAAGGGAATCCACCGCTAGATGGGCACATTCTTTGAACTGGTGATCCTCCACACTTGCAATGTACCGACCTATCTTGAGGGGAAATACTCAGGATGCATATTGAATTGGTCGTTTCCACACCTATATCTAGGATTGTTGCTCAATCTTGGTGGAAGACGGTGGTTCTATTCCTTGGTCCAATCTAGGGTCGGCAATTCTGATGGGGCATTTAGCAGCAACACTGGGATGGTTAACCACCATCTCGACATCTACATTGATTCCCTGATTACAACGTCCTCAGTTAAATGACCTTCCCCTGATCTATGGGTTTGACTTGGTCCGCTGGTTATATCCAAATGACTTATTATTAATGAACACATGTAGTAAAGAGGACAAGCAGTTGATACGCATTTGCAAGAGTCGACTCAACCATGTACTAATGTCTATTGCTGGCTGTACACAGTAAATTACTGTAGGTATGGAAATTCGTCGCTATTTTCCGTTCGGAAACGGATCTAGATCTGTGTCTATGTCGATTTACTGTTGGATCTTGGGTGTATATCACTGCATTCCCTCAAATGGATTGAAGTGGTTGTTTTATTATCAGTTTTTGGTGGTTAAAATGCCCCGATGAATAGTTGGGAATACAATGGAATACATTACAATTCTTTACAAAATGGTTGGTTTTTTAACCCCCAACCCTCAGTGTTGCCTTCCGTCTTATGATACTCTATTTATAATCAAACGTGGACGGCTGGAAAATTCCAAGCTAGCCATGTTTGATTACCGCGGAGGATATTATCCAATATTCCATGAAGATCCGCAAATATTTCAACATCTTCCATTAATATGCCGTTGTATTCCATCGACATTCTATCAATATTCCAGTAATTGTATCTCATTCACATGTCCACATCCCGTTCAATATCCCCTCAAGATTCCATTCATCCCACTCAGTATCCCCGTTCTATTATATCCCATTCCAGTGATATTCCAGTATATCCCATTTTTGCTGGTTTTACCCATATTCCATTGATATTCCATTGATCTTCCAAAAAATCACTATTCTACCACCATTTTTGTTGGTTTTTCCATGTTTTTCCCATTGCTGGTTGCACATGTCATCAACTTGTCATCGCCAGGTGGCCCACCCCAGCTCCGGCCATGCGCTGGGAAATCGCAAGGCCAGGAGCAGCGGCACGACCAACAGCCTGACGGTGGAAAAAAAACGGTGTCCAGCGGTGGGTTTGGGGATAGCCGCTGGTGTCGGACGTTGATGGGAATGAGCTAACCATCAATGGATTGGTTTAAGGGAAAATTTACAGGAAACCTCCTTGGGGATCAACAAAAACACCATTCATTTCCGATACCCTCTGGTAAAGATACAAAAAGCTATTGAACATGGCCCAGTCGAAATAGTGGATTTACCCTGTTAGTTTACCAAAGGGTACCCTCTGGTAAACTAACATAGCTATTGAAAAAACAATTTTCAATGGGAAAATCCACTATAAATTGCCATTTTCAATAGCTATGTTAATTTACCAGAGGCTAACCAACTATTGGGATTTCAATGGCAATCTAATGGGATATAATTGATTTAATGGGAAATTCCTGGAACTTCATGGGATAAAAAACTGATTTAACTAACCAACGATTGGGTAATCAAACATGGCTAGCTGGAAAATCCCCTATGAATTGTGGATTTAGTGGGAACGTCATGACTTTAATTGATGGATTTTCCAGCATGCCATGAAACTGATTACCGGAGGGGATTTATTGAGTAAGTTACTAAATGTGACCAATAATTAAGTGAGACAGGTTGTGACCCACTTGTTGATTACGCCCCCACTACTTGATTGGTTAGTTATAATATATAATTAATAATGTTACTGGATATTGATGGGGTCCAATCAACAACAAATTGCAACACATTCGTATAATGGCATAGATATGGTCCTCACCACAGTTTGTAGTCATTTTCATGGGAGTTCAATTAACAGAGGGAATATGTAACCCTTATGTAGATAAATAATGGGGATACAACAAGCAAGAATTAGGTGAACCCATCAATCGTTGGGGTCTGGTTTTAAATCGCTCCAAGCAGTAAAACAGGGCAAACATGGTATATATATATACATATATATCTGGGTAAATTATAATAATTCACTTACCTGAATTAAGGCCATTTTGGGATGATTCCTCTTATTAACCATGATTCCAGGGTTCGGTCGCAGTGAGGTCGTGATGAAATTTACCCAGATATATAGAGAGTTTATTATTGAGGTTACCACACTAGATATGGAACATCCACAGTTTGCAGATCATTTTCGTTGGACGATGATTGGTTTTCCAAAGACATTGGGATGTTTGATTGCAAAAGCCAAGGGACGTAGTCATAGTCCTAAAATGGGATTCAGCAAAGGTATTAATATATATTATATATATTATAATATATATATAATATCAAACATGGCCAACATATGTGGTCCAACCTGAATTCTGAATGTTGATCCATTCTCATTTTGAAGCAACCCAACCTGATGATGTCACCAAAATTGGGGATCGTTTGTGATTGATGGGATTCTAATCAAAGATGGGACATTGACATTGATATGGCAATTTCAGGAATCGTCAAAATCAACAGCGGGTACATTGTGGGCGGGGGTAAACAAGAACTGTGCAACATTGAAGAATCTGGTGACCCGAACTTGGTGTGCAGACCGGCAGTTGCAGTGATATTGGTGAAGCAGTGTTTATCCAATCTTTATTAAGTGTTTATCCGATCTTTATTAAACGATCTTCAACACTTGGAAGCAAATCTGGATGTCACAAATCTGTGCATCTCTGTGCTGATCTTTCAGGTCATCCAAACGCACGGGCTGAGGCCGGGACATGTCCTTGGCTTTCATGGCGCGCAGAAATATCTATGTACAAGCAAAGCGATAAAAAGTCGGAGATCCCGCCAAGCGGGATCGCATGGCCAGCGGACTGTTCTTTTCTTTGTGACGGACTGCCATCTGAAGATTTTGAGCTGAGAACAGAACAGCAATGGAAGCAATGCAGGTTGATCATAGTGAAATCTTCAGGTTGAACCGTGGCGGAAAAAGAAGCTGTTGCACAATGGTGCGGTGGCTGGTAGCTGTGGCTGGTGTCTAAGGAAGCTGGCGGGACTCTTCGTGACTGGTGAGCCTGGCTTCAAATCACCTGGAACATCCCAAAATCATCTCTCAGTGGCCCGCTGGTGATAAATCTGGTAACCAGACAATACTCAGACCAAGCCCAAAAGGATGTTTTGTTTGTGATGAAGAGCCAAATTTGCAAAACGATCCCCTTCGAATCTAATCAGAGTGTCACCGAAGCACACAAGGCTGAAACCTCCACTGTCAATGGTCAAGAAAGATCAAGAAAGTACGATTGAATCAAAACTTACCAATCGGGATCATCATCACTTGTCCTGACCACTTCGGTCCCTGGTGTCGTTTTTGCTCTTCGTCATTCTTTGACCGACTTCTTTGAGTCGACCAACGAACTGTGGGTGAAACTAAGTCGGTTTCTATGGTTTTGATGCCAAGCAATTTATACCTGGAAGAGACATATGCTGCCATTTATCGAGAGTTGATCGCATGAGGAGCAGCTTTGAAGACTGAACTGCAGCTGGGTCATCATTTGATTGGTGAAATCAAGCTTTAGGATTTTGGGCTCCACACCCAGGACTTTTCTGGTAGCCAAGTGTGACCCATCTCTGGCTCCCCAAGTCTAGTCCAAGAAACGGGAGACCTTTGATAACCAACAGAGCCACACAGAATGCCCGCCAT